ATTTCAGCACCTAATGCACGAAGTACATCAACCTAAATACTCATAATATAAATAATGCAAATTTTCTTATTCAAATATCATGTAGTTACTTTTTCTTTGCTCATTTTTTCAGGCATAACAATAATACATCGATAATTTTTAACAGCACATGCTAATGCTAAACCAATACCTGTATTACCAGATGTTGGTTCAATAACAGTATCACCTGGTTTTAATATTCCAGCACGTTCAGCTTCTTCAACCATACGTAAACCAATTCGATCTTTTACACTACCACCAGCATTAAAATATTCAAGTTTAGCCACTAAATAAATATACATATTAAGTTCAATTAAAGATAGAACTTTATTAACTTACAAAGATTACATTTCAAACCAGCTTCACGTCCCAAACGATTAACACGCACAAGTGGTGTATCACCAATTAATTCAAGAACATTGTTATAGGTCTTTTGGCGCAGTGACTTTTGTCTAGGTCAAAAGAAACTAATTAACATCAAAAAAGAAATTTACTGGTTCAAGAAAACTTACCTAATACCAAGATTATGTGGAGATTTACTTTTATCACCGTTAACGGTGTACGTACAACGGCTTGGTGCATCTGGTCGATTGGCCAAAAAACTTTCCATTTTTCTTACTTTTTATTCTGCTCGAATATTAAAAAAATGTACTGATAAGAGGGCACGCCTTTTTCTTATAGTGCTACGACTTTGTGCTTGTCTTGTGACTCGGGGTGGCTGGTATTGTGTGATAGAATGTATTTTTTTTCTCAATTTATATATGTGCACATACAGACATATAGGCGTGCGTGGAGGAAAGAAAAAAAAATAGAGTCTACTATAACATACGTTTGGGTCAGTTATCTCTTTTTCTCTCTCTGCATTTGGATCACTGCGTGATGATAGTTGTTTTTTCGTAATAAAATATCTTTTTTTACCTTGACTCATTAATATCTTAATCTTCTATTTGGTTTTAATTTCAAAAAGCATTTTCTTGTGTTAATTGCTTTCATTTAAATATTAAATTTCTTATGTTGCCGCTATCTTCATTATCATTCCATAGTGAAAGTCGAATATTTGCAGGATAGCTTAGATAAGAGAATGAAAAATGAGAAACAGCATCATACTAAAAGAAATAATCTACTCATAAAAAAACATTCAAGTTCAATTTTTCGTTTCAAAAGAATGGTACAAGTATATAAGATTAAAAAAAAGAAAAAAAAATACGTTTAACGTAAAACAACGATAAGAAGAAACAATCAAGGGTTGTAAGAACGAAAAAAATTATAAATACATTGACTTTGTGCAACATCAACAGCAAGCCTACGTATGCCTATGGGGGCCGGGCTTGTTTACACAACCGTTTGTTGTCTACATTCTAATGTGCTGCTTAATTCACGTGGCATCAAGTAAAACAGATACATGAAAGAAAGTAGTTTTTTGGAGAGCAATGTGATAAAGATGATTCTGTTTTATCACTTCGTCGCATTTGAGATGAATCACGTGGATCGATAACGGGTATATTTTTAGGTACACGATTCTGTTGTTGTTGTTATTATTGTTGTATAACAAATGGAATTGGCACAGGTACAGTTAAAACTGGTGTTCGATTTGATATATTAGGAGATTGTTGTTGTTGTTCAATTGTTTTATTAGAAAATGATAATATCAATGTATAAGATATCGTACAGCTTCATCTTGTCATTTTGTAAATGATGATTAACATTCAGTTGCTCAATGAAACGATGAAATTAAAAGTTTCTGTTATGTAAACTTGATCTTCTTCTGAACTAAGTTTAAGTTGCATTAAACAAGGAAGAAATTGATGTGTCATTGTATCAAGACGATAATCAGGATCTGTTTTAAAACGATTTATAACAACATCATTCCATCTCTATCAATAGAAATGAATGAAATAAAGAAACAAAATCAAAATCAAATTAAATATTACTTCAAAAGATAATCGACGAGCTTTAAATAAAAGACAACTATCCATTGCTTTCATAGTCAATGTACATTTTTTTGAAAAACACATATGTTATTCGCAATATGAACATTAGTTGCTTTTTTCGTTTAAGATATGATGACACCACTTATAAAGAACGTTCAGCTCAAGTCGATCATTCCTACTATCTGCAACGACACCTTAAACTTCCTAAAACGATGGCGAAATGGTATGACTACTGCATTAAACGATAAAAAAACGGTCGTCATTTACGGTCGTTTTAGTCGAAAACCAATGCACAGCATTAAGCCCGTATTTTCATCATATACTGTCGTATTTCTAGCATTTTTTGCTGCATATGGATTCGTCATCACAAACTACACCCAAAATAAATGTATGGACACAAGTTGCAACAAATCGACATAATAATCATGCTCACTATGCATGAAAATATCATTAAACATAATTTTGTGATAAAATGGTTCACTAATTAAAACAAAAACCATAATGTCTAGGATATATTTTTAACAAGTAACTTACTATAGTCAATGTTCGTCTTTTTTGAACGCTTACGAATTGTTTGTTCCTATATGTGGTAAGCAGCATGATTTGAACTTGGATAGATTTTCTACTACGCATCTACAAGACAAAAAATATGGGTTCTGTTATCCATAATATTTGTCCATGGGTAAAAAGAACGAATGAAGATATACGAAGGTGTGTACTTGGTAACTCAATACTAATATCAAGTCAATCATCGCATGACAAGACAGATGTTTTTGTAGAACGCACGTCATATCGTTGAATAGATGTCAACAAAATTCATCGAATCGATGCTTAAATATGATAGAAGTTTACCAGGGCCTGATATTAAGAAAAAAAACAGGGAAATTAAAGAAAACAAAGAGTAAATCGCAGTTCCATCGTAGGAAAACCTTTTGATAAAACATTAAAAATTGATCGACACTAGAAACAGTAGATAAGATCATTAAGATTTGCGTACTAAATATCATTATAAAATATCTAATAATACTTATGAGATATTTTTTTTTCACTTTATGTGAAAACGAGAAAAAAATCGGAGTAAAACTGTTGGTCGGAACAATGATCGTAACAGATACCGCTATTACTGTATTTCTCAGTTTTCGAGTCGTTTACGACCTTTTATGGATTGTTCTGATCTATCTGAGTAGTTGACATAGTCCTTCTTGAAACTTTTTCTTTCAGTCTTTGTTGAGATAGGCATCAAAAGTTGTCATGTTCTGTACTAGTGATTTTAGCAGCGAAAGTCAGAAAATACTTGTTCAAACGAAAAAATGAAATCTCATATTTGAATCAATAGTATTCATTTCCAGCATTGATTGATTTGTTTACAAAATATAAAAAGTAATCAGTTTAATATTTCCTGGAGTTTTCAGCTCGATCTGTTTACTTTCTCCTATATAAACCATCAAAATACCGATGACATTTTTAATATGGTTTTTTTTAAACAAATTTCTTAACAGATTTGTGGTCTGTGTTCTTACAATTTTTGAGACTTTTGATATTCCATTTTATCAACTATAACTATTGAGATATTGTCTTTCTGAATACAAAAATCCAGAAGTTTTCGTTAATTCTACAAGGATTTCTGAGATACCATTATAAAAAGTTCGTCTTGCTCATCTTCCTATAATTTATTACCAAAACGTTGCTGAGCCGAATCTTATGAGCCAACGACCAAATGCTGTAATGTTTCTACGAGTATTAGAGCTTATCAAGTTCCACCACATAGAATATCTTCCAATTTTGGTCGTTGACAAATGTAAACACTTTTCATGATAGATCATCTTTTCCTATTAGTCAATAAGATATGTTCGAAGATATTGGTCTATTTTCCATAGATCATATATTCTCAACCAGTTAATATTCTCTTATGTGAGTACTTTTATATTGTATATAGTATGACCATTTAAGATTAGTAAAAAAGAATAAAACAATAGCACTGTATTGCATTTCTAGAATGATTCTTTTCAGTTATTCGTGTAGACTATTGATTAACTATTGCATAGCCTCAGAACAAAGGTTGCAAATGACTGTAAACAACAAAATGTCGTAGTATAGGGTGATAAACTACTGAGAAAAACGAGTGTTTTAGAAGAATCAAAATATATTTCACGAACTCCGTTCAATTTCGAGACACTCTAAAAAGACTTCACATGATTCCAAGAGATTACGATGTAACATATATCTGCTCTTGTGGCTAGTGTGTATGACAATCTCAAGTAATAGAAAACTAGAATTGTCTGTTAGAGATCGGCCTTCGGTTTAGAGTTGCAACTAGTATTAGTTGTATAGAGCATGCCAGACTACTTGATCTGTTATTAAGCAACATCCTATACTGTAAGATAGAAGAAGGCAGGCATGTTCTTCTTCGAAAACCGAATCCAAGTGAATACTTATCATTTGAAATGAAAACCTTCTAATAATGAGTACGATTGACCTGTACCAACGGTGCTCACATTAGAGAAGTTTTCCTGTAATCAAATATTTTTCTTTGTCTGAACTCATAAATACTTTGATTTTCTATCTGATTTCAACTTCAAAAAACATTTTCTTGTGTTGGTCATATTCATTTAAAAATTAAATTTCTTATTTTGTTGCTGTCCTCGTTATCATTCTATAGTGAAAGTCGAATATTTGCAGATCACTTCAGATAAGAGAATAAAGAAAAGAGAAACAGCACGCATACTACAGGACAATAATCAACCCATAAGAAAAAAAAATATACATAAGTTCAATTCTTTTTTTCAAAAGAATGGTACACGTATGTATGACAAAAAAATTACGTTTAATGTATAAGAATGATAAGAGCAAACAAAAAAAAACAAGGACCGCAAGGACAGAAAAAAAAGATACAAATACACTGGCTTTGTACAACATCAACAACGAGCGCACACATAATTATGGGAGACCGGGCTTGTTTACATAACCGTTTGTTGTCTACATTCTAATGTACTGATTAATTAGCACCGTATCGAACAAAATAGAATGATGACAAAAAGTAGTTTTTTTTTCTTATGAAGATGAAGGTGGCAAAGATGAATCTTGTTCATCATCACCTTGTTGCATTGGTGATGAACCACGTGGATCAATAACGGGCATATTTTCAGGTACACGATTCTGTTGTTCTTGTTGTATAACAACTGGAATTGGGACAGGTGCAGTTAAAACTGATGTTCGATTTGATCGATTAGGAGATTGTTGTTGGTGTTGTTGTTGTTGTTGTTCTGTTGTATTACCTGAAAATGATGGATATCGATGTATAAGATCTCGTACAGCTTCATCATATCGTTCAACTAATTGATGTTTATTTATTGATACTGAATGATAATGTTGACCAATTGGTTGTTCAAGTAAACGTTGAAGAAATTCTTCAAGCGATAAGGAACGTTCAGTTGCTACATGAAACAACAAAAAAAGGATTGATATTTAAAACAAAATTTTGTTTTAGATGTTTATCCTACGTTCTAATTTATCCAGTAATAAACACCATACTCGTTGAATTTCTGTTATGTAAACTTGATCTTCTTCTGAACTAAGTTTAAGTTGCATTAAACAAGGAAGAAATTGATGTGTCATTGTATCAAGACGATAATCAGGATCTGTTTTAAAACGATTTATAACAACATCATTCCATCTCTATCAATAGAAATGAATGAAATAAAGAAACAAAATCAAAATCAAATGAAATATTACTTCAAAGCATAATCGACGAGCTTTAAATAAAAGACAACTATCCATTGCTCTCATAGGCAATGTACATTGTTTTGAAAGACGTAAATTGTATTCACAAGCAACACAAAAATATGTTATTGCTTCTTCAAATCTAAATAGTCATATTATTAATTATTTCAATTTAAAAATTAATATTGTTTTCGCTTGAGATAGTATCGCTTACTTAAACTATTCTTGATATACATATTAGAAAAAGATCACAATTTCAAATCACTTAAACTCTACATTTAACCTCGAGGTTCATTGAATTGGAGATCTGTCTTAAAATTGAATCAATATTTGTTGAGAAATACGACAAAAGCACCATAACTTTCATATCCATAAATCTGTATTATAGTCTATCTCCCTTATTTCTTTCTTTTTCGATAATAACTGACCAGAATCTGAAAAAACATTTATGTATCTGAAGAGTTCAGCATAACTTTTTGGGTGAGAGTCTGCGAAAAACCAAAGCAAAATGGAACATCTCTGATCTCTTCATGATCTCCTTTCATCGAACTGCATTCAATTTACAGAAAATTTCAATGTTTTTGTCATGTTTTCACGCTTTGAAGCTTTTTGTAAATTGAATGCAGCTTGATGAAGACAGGCTGGAGACATCTCATCTTGCTCTATCAAACAAAATATTTTCGCCAAAGGTTCTAATAACTATTAAAAAACTGTTTTTTTTTGGTGGAGAAGATTTTGGATTTCCGCAGATCGTCACCCAAAGAGTTTGTCAAGGCCTTCGAGTCTATTAATCCTGATAGAGAATCCTTTCAGTTATATAAATGTTTTTTCAGATTTCTGCCAACTATTATTATCAAGGAGAAAGCTAAAAAATATATCTGCTTAGAAATTTTCGTCCGTCGCGATACACAACAGTAAACAAAAGTACAAAAGTAAAGTATGATTATTTTTAATTTGGTATCGAAAAATTGTTTTTCTGGTTATCTGAAGCATATGTTATTTAGAAAAAAATTCTGAAACTCTAAAATAAAATAGAATATAATACGTATGGAGAAAGTTTTGTTAAATGAATTGGTCGTAGTTACTTTCGAGAATGATAATATGGAAATGCAACGGCCATCTTCCGAAACTAAATCAAGTACCAGCACCGGACATATTGCACGAACACACCGACACTTTTTATTTCCTATGTTAGTACTTAATTGAGTTTCTGAGGTAATTCAGAAAGTCTATAATGCGCTTTAGCTGAATCTCTTAGATATTTAATTAAATGAGAAACTACGGAAGGAAATAACCATCTTTAATAAAATCTTGTACTTACTTATCTTCATTCATCAATTGACAACCAGCAAGAAATGCAGCGATAACTGACCGAAAATCTTTATAATCGGTAAGAAGTTTCTATTCATATAATTTTTTTAATATATTTAATTTTTATTTATTTGCAAGAAAATTTACTTGATATTCTTGAACTTCATCATTAGACATTTGCATTTCATTACAAATAATTTGTGCTTGTAATTTAAATATTCTTAATCTAAAATATAATATTTATTTTTTAACAATTAAGAAAAAAAAGTCAACAAAAAAAGCGATCAATTCTTTACCTAATATCATCATTTGGAAAAGTTGCAAGTCTTATTATATCATACATGACACGTTGTCTATAGATTGTCTCAACACGATTTGCTGATAAATATGAAAGAACATGTTGTAAACGATAATCATTATGTGGTAATGCTGACGTTATCATATTCGCTGTATGTAAATAAGTTTTGATTTCTTTTTCAACAATCTATTGAAAATTCAAAATAATAAAACTACTTTTTCTTTTATTTAAAGAAATATTTAGCTTACCTCTTGGAGTAAACGATCAACTTCAACTGAAAGAATTTTTGGTCCATATGTTTTTAAAATACGTAACGTTGAATCAAGTACAGGTTTAACGATTTCCGAATCTAAAATATAGACAATAGTTCGATTCATTCGGAAAGACAAAGTAATAGAAAATGAAAAATCTTAGAATCCAATCTTGAAAAATAAGAAACCATGTTTTATTTTTGTTCTTTATGAATATGATCTACCCTTGGATAGACTTTAAAAGAGTTCTTTTTCGAAACACAACTATCGTCCCTTTTTTTATCGATACCTTATAATAGTTCTTTCATCTTAACTTATGGGTAGTATAACAAGTTTTTTAATATAATATCATGACCACTTTCAAAGTATCTGATTATTAAGATTCACGTTCAAACTTTGCATAAGCAAATTTATTCATGCGACTAGCATTACTGAGAACAGGAGATACGAAACAATCTCATAATACATGAGAGGAAGGTCACAACATTGTATTTCTAAACTCATCAATAATAATCATAAATTAATAACAAAGACTTATGATCATAAATCTTTTTAGTTTTTGTCTAATCTCTACAGACTTTATTTAATTCATCTCAAACGAAATTTATCATGTAATTAATAATATCATTAATAAATAGATTAAAGATTTTCTATTCTGATGATAAGATTCTTTTACTGTTCATAAACATACCACTAGGTGCATTCGGTCCAGCAAAAAAAGGAATCGTTAGTGCACGATGAACAGGTTGTTGCTTTTCAATACGTTCACATATTGATTTTAAATCACTATGAAGTTGTTCAAGTTTAATACTTTCAATTTGTTGTTGTAATAAAACTAAATCATCGTCTAAAACTCGTTGAAGATCAACTGGAAGTTCATATTGTATATCTAAATAAATACTAAATTATTACCAAAAAACAAAATAAAAGATTTCAAAAATTTACGAACCATTAGATATCAATTTTTGGTCAGCATTTATATAGACTAATAAATAGGCACTTGGTACACGTGGTTCTTCACGATTATTTTGTGTTCGTTGACCACCAATACCCGCATCGAATACATCTGTCCATGTAGTTTCACAAACTAGAATTTGAAATAATAATTAAAATTAAAAAAACACAACTGCTTCATATCATTATTTACCTTCATTATCATTATAACGATACCATTTTTGTCGATCATTATGATAAACATATGTCCAAAAATGTCCAAGTGTTGCACTTCCTTCATGTACACAAACGGCATGTAATGTATAACGTACCTGAAAAAAAAAATTGTTCTATTAAATAATATTAATTTCATTCATTTTAACCTGTTTCAATTGTGGTTCATCATATAATTGTCTTAATTCAGTTTTTAAACGTTGAATTTCCTCACGAATATCTATATAAAAATCTGATAAATATATTTTACAAAAATATTATACTTACTAGCACATTTAGCTTCAACCTCTGTTAACCATACTGGTAATGCATTTTGAATGAATTGAAGTTCTTCAGGTGATATATGTGAAGGTTGAATAGGCGCTTGTGGATATTGTCGAACACGATTTGTTGTTGTTTGATCAGAGGAAACTGAGTCCGCCCTTAATATATAATTTTACAATCAAAAACAAACTACTTTCGTTTTTTTTTTCTTCCCTTCCTTCGTTGTATTATACTAAGAATAGGAACATTATGAAGTTCTACAATGCACAACTTAAAGGAAACACTCAAGTCTGTCTACAGAGAATCTCTGATCACCATGATATATGAGAGACATAACGATTTTATTGAAAAATTTATTTCATGTACGTAGAGCGAAAATTGACCTCGGCACGATCGAGATTGAATTGAAGTAAAAACAAAAGTTATTGATGATAGTGAATAATAAGAAAAAGTAGAAATTATTTTTGGCAAATAAATACCTTTTCGGTAATGTTGGATTAAGCCGACAACCAGTAGCAAATTCATAAACTACTCGAATTGCATTGGCAAGTGCAAATGATTCATCATTACATGGATACTTCAAATAACTATAAAATAAAGAATAAATACGATTTTATTATAACTTTTATAAAAGACGAGGGTCGATAATTGTTGAAATTTAATTTTTTGTATGTTAAATCGTCACAGAAGATGTTCGAAAGTGACTCCCGGTAGAATTAGCCAATGACCATCACATATACATTGAACTCGAATGTTGATGGTAATCAGCACATTTCGAGCGCTTCACAATGGTATGAAAACATCGACGAAAAAAAGTTCGTCATATCAAAAAATCCGAACGAGACTATTCTCAAAATATAACTTACATAAAAACTAAAATGATATTCAAAAGCAGCATTCAAATCTTAGTGCATTTAAGTGTATTTCAGAAATTTTCGTAATCTTTTTTTTCATCAAAACCTTCACCTGTGGTTCCCTTTGGAATTATGTTAAAAACATGAATTTCATCGAATAGTTATGCTGCCAGTGGATATCAATGTCAAAACTGACAAAATTATAGTAGAACTTCAAATAGCAAATGCATAAACAATACAAAAAAAGAGTTTTCATGAATTTCATTGTTTGATCAAATACTTACGAGAACCGCGGGGAAATTTTTCGACGAGAAAAAGTTGCAAAGAGTTTTGAAATACACATAAATGCACTCAGTTTTTGATGCTGATTCACAATATCATAAATAGTTTCTATAAAAATCGTATTTTTCTAATCAAGATCTACTAAATATCAGACAAAAAAATAACGTGTCTAGAAGTCTTCTTGGAAGTTCTTCATGAAACTAATGTTTTTATACCTCTCAACAGCTATTGACTATTCTAATCGATGAGGACACAGCACAAACAAATTTCATAGGTCATAATTTCATCAATTATTAATCCTGATCGTTCTCCATTTTCTTTTCTTTACCTGTTCAATGTATTTTCTAAATCATGTAATTGAGCATAAAGTGTTTTTGCAATATTACGTTTATTTGAAGTGACATTTTTATTTACTAACATATAACGATCAAGATAAAGTTCAGGATAAAATTCAAATGGTGCTATGATTTTTGATGCTTGTTTTGTTGTATGAGAAAAACGATAACGATTAAGACAAATAAATAACACAGGTGGTAAACGTGTTAACCATCGTTGTTCAACAATAGCCTATACAACGATTTGAATTACATATAGAAAACAAAGAAAAAAGAAAAGAATTTACTTGTTGATTACAAAGACTTTCATCAGCTGAACCAAGCAAAAGAGTTTCAAGACCATCATAAATATTACTTGAATCAATCATTTGAATATTTATTTGTCTTAAAGCTTCTCGAACTAATTTTTTTTTTTTTGAAAAAAAAGAAAGATGTTTTTTTTTGTAAATTAATAAAACTTTTCAAAACAATATTTACTAGATATATGTTCATTTCTTTCAACAACCACTTCACCTGTAACAAGTGTATTTACAGGATTAATAAAATTCATTGGTGTTGTATTATCAATATTTAATAAACTAGAATTAACAATAGATCAGTTTAAAAATATATTTATATATCTATGAATAATGATATAGAATTTATTATATTTCGAATATGTTAAGTGTCTTTTTTTTTTAATTTCAAATTCATGCTTGATTCTGTATAATACAGAATGGGATTTTTCATTCTCAACATTTTCACAAGGATATTCTCTTTGAAACTGTTCATCGTTACAAATTGATTTTTTTGCTCTAGGCAATTCCTATCGATTGTATAGTTTCGTTTGCAATATTTCAAAGTTACAAAGAGCACTTTATCTATTGCTTTCAAATGGTTATATGTTACGTAATAGGATTCAGAGTCTAGAACTAAATCAAAACATCAAGAAACACTTTCAGATTAATCAATCGAACTGGAGCTATTCAATATGTATTATTTCATGAAAATATGTTAAGATCGCTTTTTCTTCTCAATGATTGTTTTGATATTGACATAATACTTTTCCCTTATGCGAAAGCATATGTATTTGCCTATTGAGTGAAACAAAGCACCGTTCACTAGAACGAACTAGAATTTATTCGAACGTTAACAATTTAAGCATAATAATCAATTTCGTAAAAAAAAACAGTTAAAATCCATCCTGAATTTTATCAAGTAGCCTTTTAATTACCGATTCGAGACACGAAACTGTTAGTGCACTTATAATTTTTTTCTATAGATTCAGATATTGGCCTTTTCGGCAGAGAGTAGACGTATAGATTCTACCTGTGTGTGGCAATGTGCGTTGTGGGAAATTTTGCATAATTATTTAGTTGTAGGAAAAGTTTTTCATTTGGGAATTCGAATATAAGAAATAGTTCTCTTGTAACAATAAAAACACTAATATCGTACACAACTTTTGTGATTTATTTATTAATAGAAACTATCGAAATAGTTTATTCTCTCTTTTTTTTTAACTATACAATACATGACGTTTTGGAATGAAAATTTCTTCTATTAATTGATGATTAATAAACAATAATATTTTATATGACTTCTTGTTTATATTAAATAAAACAATTTCTCTTTCGTTTGATTCAAATATGCATGTAGAATAGTGAATCCGAGTTTTTATTAATTTTTGATAGCAAAGAGAAATCATTTTTATGAATTTCTAAACTAAATTTCTTAAACATTATGCCTTAAACTAAATTTCATATCATGATAACTCACACCAATCCAATGATTTCAAGCTTTAAAAATTTAATATTGCGAGATTATAATAAATAAAAAAAAATGAATCATTACTTTTTTCCAATTGTTTCATAGGCAAGTTCAATAAGATCAATCAGATGCATAGCAAATTCGGAACAATCCTATAATAGAAAAATCATTAGAAATATTTATTTTCTTGAAAATTTTTACTTCATGTGAGAAATCTACTCCACATAATTTTCTTGTATTTTTAAATTTTTTAATAGCTCTATCAGGGTTTATTGATCGTCTTGGTGATTTTAACATTAATGCAAATAAATATCTTAATTCTTCAGTAAAACAAATCGCTTGTTGTTCCTATTATATGAAAAATAAAATAAAAAAAAAACAATAAGAGAATTAATTTACACTATCAGTTAATAAACGATTTATTGTAGGATATTGAAAATTTAAAATAAGTTGACGAAAATAAGGTAATGTATAAAGAGCTTGTACAACTGAATTAAACCAACAAGTATTTCCAACATTTTTTAATCCAGCTGGTTCATCTAAACTTTTTCGTTCAGCTATATCAGATTCATCAATTATGTGTTCCATTGTTTCACGTGATAATAAAAGAGCACTAGACAAGAATATAAATAAAAGAAAAAAAAAGTCAAATAATAAAATTATTTTTCTTACCGTTCTAATTCATCATCAGTTGGTTGTTGATTATCAATTTCAGGTGAAATTTCGATAACATCATCTGTTATTGTATCATTATTTCGATCATATGAGGGACCTGCGGCTATTGGATTATTAATAGGTACATTAGATGTTTGTTGCGAAGAATTATTTGATGGTTGTGCTGTTCGTTGAAGATTATTTCGAAGCTGGTATAAGAAGAAAAAAAATACATATGTATGTATAAAGAGAATAAAATGTTCGAATTTTTCAAACAAACATTTGAATCATCAAATAATAAACTAATCACTTGTTCAAGTGAATAACGTCCAGTTCCATCTTTACATGCTTCAATGGTTTGATTTATTGAATTTTCATCAAGGCCGGTGATTTCACGCACCTGCCGGATGACATCTCGTCGATCTCGTTTCGTCTATAAATAAAAAACGAGAAGATTTTAATTTATTTTATTTTTTTTTATTGAAATATTTTCTTTTCTACGAACGATGGAAAGATTATTCTTCTTATTGTCAGGTACAGCCGCAGTGTCCACTGTCATAATCTAATAAATATTAAACAGAAAGATAATGAAGACATTAACATATAAATATATTTATATGTGTTCCCTTTTTTAGTGTTTTAGAATAGAAATAGAAAGAACACATGATTATGATTGGTTCAGCCATATTTAAATGAAATCGATTTGTCCTCTATATAGAGTCATTTTAATATTCGAGAAAAAAAATTTTTTTCTTTTTTTTTTTTTATGCAAACATATCTCTAGATTTTTTATTAGAATTAACATAAAAAAAACAAATTGTTGGATGAATTATAGATGGATTTAAAAGACAATGATCTATATTATTTTAACTGAGTTGTTAATCAAACAATTTTTGTGATAACTATCAATATATAGTTATTTTGTTGATTCTTTCGAAAGAGAGTTTGTTTATGAACGATTCTTTTGAGAAATATCTAATTGGGCAATGTTGACTGTTAAAAATTATGATGAAAATGTTAGATTTACTCTGAAGATTGAGATGAATATTTTCACTCAATGACAGGTAAAGTGTTTAATGGCAGGTTTGCCAAGCGGAAGTTAAATGTACAGAGCATTTGCTACTTCCCGTATGCATACTGTGTCATACCTTGTTGAATAAAACAAAACTGTGTGTCTAAGATGTATTTTTTTCTTGTATCTTTCAATCTTTCATTCATTGTATTAAGAAAACAAATATAAGTATATGAAAACACTTTGCTTTTGATTTCCATTACAAGTACTGGATAGAAAGAAGAGCACCGAAATAGCAAAGCCTCCGACACATTAGAAGTCGCCCTGTCAATAGCTGATTTTCTAGTTTTCCCATCGTGCTTATACTTTTTTCTATTTTGGACTTTTGATTTAAAAATAACTTTTTGCTCTTTCTCAAGTTGGATTCACGTTGTACATTAATATTATAAAATGTAATTAATGGACGTATGTATACGGCATGTAAAAATCAATGTTTGTTATAACCGAGTTCGGTTAGTTTTTATCAGAGATGTCCCTCGCGGTTGAAAACCTGCCACTGCCGCGCCGTGGCCTCAAAATAAAGAAAAGCTACCGCACCGCTGCCGCAATGATTTTCAAAACACTGTATTGAATTTCACTGCTGCGACTGTATTTAACCAGAAATATTGGTACGTGTCCATTAGATTCATTCAGTCGCAAGCTATTTCGTTTGAAAAACATAGAAATTCTATAAATTTACACAGTTTTAAAATGTCCTCCAAAAATAATGCTGTCGCTGCCGCGATGACTTTTTTAAAAATCCGCCACTACCACCGTCATGGTAGCGGCGTGGCGGCGGTAGCGGCAGCGCCACCATGGACATCTCTGGTTTTTATTCACAGTCTTTTCTTTGTGCGAATAGTCAACTATGTGATTGTTTTCATAACTGAATAGACATAAAACATTTCTCATAGATTATGATCTAGATACAAATTCTCATGTACTATTACTAAATATCGGTCATGATGAAATAGATCAAGAATCTGATTCAAACTGAGATGAACACATTACAATTTCGATAATCAACAGTAGACCTATCGTTATCGGTAGATCAGTCATTGCCGATATGTCTTATTGAGTTTTCTGCTCTTGATATCTCATAGAGGATATGTACTGAAGCTTCGTTGATCATTGACTATGCCAGATATCATTATCCACAGATGGAATAGTACCACAAGTCGTCAATCCAGTGTCGGTATGGATTTTAGATCGACCGGTGCTGATTGTGAAAAAGCCGAACCTGTTTCATTTTCATGGTGCTTCTTGAAATTATTCTACCAGGTTTATTTTTTATGGCTTTTTACTACGAACAAGAACGTTTTACTATGAAAATGATTTCTAGTTTTTCGAGGTTAGGATTTCTACAAAAATCCAAAGCCCGAGCCTTTCCAGTTCGTAGAGTTTGCAACTACAATTCTGTTTGAATTCTTCAGAATGATGAAGAAAATAAATTTCTATAAAAGGACACGCCGTTGGGCTCTCTGTGACATTCTTTGAATAAGGTACATCATTTTTCTGAAGGCACAAAAATGATGTTACCATACGGAATAATAGAAAAAATCGACTGCTTTGTCTGTAGTAGGGTCTATGTATCTTGATTAAAAGCATCATAGAGAGTTAGAAGACGTTTCATTTCGTAGAGAATAGTTTACTCTAAATCATTCTGGATGATTCAAACAGGTCGAGTATATGATTACTTTTGTATGTTGGCGAACTATAAGACTTGATCTTCTTCAGAATGACTTGATTGCTCGTGCTTGAATTGTAACAAACTTATATCTACATATGGTTTTTCTTTTATTGAAATGTTCACCACTTAAGGAGTAGATGAATTATAAATTGTGAGCTCATCATATGACCAAAAACAATGTAGTGAAAAGTTTGCGTGTCTACCTTTGAAGACCTTTTGTTTTTCTCAAATTACACCTATTATTTAGGGTAGTATCTACTTATTTCTGATATTATATTCTAATCGCTAATTGTCGCTTAAACATGCTAATTATTTATATATATGTAGAGCAATCCACTAGATGCACCATTTTAACTTAAATACTTCTTGACTTTTTGGACCGAGTCAGAAGAAAAAAGACTTAACTTGCTTCTATGTGATCACTATATATATATATATTCTAATTACAGTACCCGACAAAAGTATCCACCCTCAGATCTTAGTTTTTATAAGAGCGAAACGTCTGCAAGTTGGTCTATAGGTAGTCCACAGAGAATGTAGATCTGCAGTACCATCACACAGTGGGGAGCCAGGCGGACATATGCGAAAATTTTCTTTCCCAGA